AAAAAAAAAAAAACACTTGAGCCAAGGCTAGTGTGTGGTGGAGAGGATGACTTCCCATCATACAGTGTTAATCTGTCTCCACACTGTCACCAGGATTTCTTAACTGCTTAGAAATAAGCACAGAGAAATACTGGAGGTCCTGGGGGACAGAATGAATGGAGGTCTCATTTGCCTTCTTTGAATCCATTTCAGGGCAGCTTAGCCCTTGGCCTGGTAACTGACTTGGCTTGCAGGGGCCCTGTCACCTGCTCCTGAGAATTTCCTTCTCAGGTGTATGTGGTGCTTCTCTTTTCTCCCAGCTCAGTTCCTTGACATTTTTACAGCCTTGAACAGCAGGACTTGATCAGTATTAGCCAGTTAGACCATTAGCACCAACAACATCATCTGATTGACTCAAGCCCAGCAGAGAGAAATGCCCAGGAAGAAAGAGGTACTTAACAATGACGGAGCAGCTTGATGGAAATTGGACATGTGGGTTTTGATGGAAAGAAGACTCTGGGCCTGGATCTCCAGTTGGAACTCCATGGTGATGAGGAGAGAATGTGGCCCTGACACACAGCTGAACCTCATCTCTATCCCTCACCTTAGACCAGTTGTAATTATTGGTAAGAGTTTCTCTCCCAATTACAAAAAGTCCAGCTAATCCATTAAAAATAAACTCAGAAGGGCTCCTTGCCCTCCCCCATTACCTTCTCTCCACCTCACCATTATGATACTTATCATTTGACTTTCTCATATTTTCGTTTATTCACAAATGTACCTGGCCTCCGGCCCACCTCCCACTCACTTTGGTTGTAATAAGGAACTGTAACTCGGAGTAGGGGAGAGGGGCGAGCACACAGAACTCCTCACCGCCCTTTGCCATTGTCTAAAATGCCTAAATAAGAAGCAGCCAGAATTGTCCCCGCTGAGCCAGACGCGACCTCAGGGGACAGCATGAATGTGACAACGGCAGGCAACTGAGAGAGAGGAAAAACACGAGACCCCTTTAAAGGCAGAGAAAAGAGCTGGGCAACAGGCTGCAAAACAGAGAGAGCAGGAACAGCAGGCAGAGGAAGGACAGCAACGTCGAGAAATAAATAAGAAATTTTTAAAAACTGCTTTAAAGATAGAAACCACAGCATGAGGGCAGAAAAATAGCACCAAAGGAAAAGAAAGAATGCTCTTCAGATGACAGAAATGGAGAAAGGAATCAATACCAAAAGGAAGGATAGAATCAAAGGAAACACAGTCAAAAGCTGGAACTGATGAAGATGATGATAATAGTGATTACAACTTGGGGAGGAAGGAATCAGGGGAGGAAAAAAACAGGAGGTGGCAGTGAAAAAAGAATTGTCATGAAAGAGATCGTGGCCACATCTGTAAAAAGAAAAACAAATATATTCGGCGTAATTGTTTTTCCGGGAGGCTGGGGGCGGGCGAGGGAGAGCGGACCTTCGCCATCTGGGCTGCTCCCTGGGTTAGCCCGGGCATCCTCACTGAGGCTGTGGGCTGCAACTAGAGCACACCGGACATGAGTTGGGACAACCCACCTCAACCCACCACACCTCATACTTCTTCCAAAGGGCCGGTTCACCCGAATTGAGACTGTTGTTTTAGCAATCCTGCCCTTTCCAAACCCAGGTTACTGGGAAATTTAACTTTTGCAATTTTATTAAGCTTGTGAAGCCCCAAGCTGCAGGTCTGGGACGGCCCTTTTTACAAGTTAAGTGGCCCTCGTTCCTCTGGCATTTGCCTCAGTGATGCCTCCGCGTTTTTCTGGAGGGGAAGGAGGTAGTTCTCACCCGTGCTCTGGGAGCCAAACGCTGGCTGGTCAGCACCTGGGCGGAACGAACCCCCGCCGCCCTCCCTTGGGAAGAGAAAAGCTGCTCAGAAGCACCAGGCTAACTCTGCCATCCGTACTTACGTCGAGGAAGATCGACATGCCCTTGGACAGCTGCAGGGCAGAGCTGAGCTCTTCCGAGGAGTTGTTGGAGGAAGGCGACGTCTCCCGGGAATCCTCCATCCTCAGGAGCCCTGACCGCTGCCGGCGGAGCGGAGCTGGGCGCTCGCACCGGCTCGGGCAAGGGCGCGGCCGCAGCTGCTGCCTCTCGGCGCCGCCGCCGCCCGGGCCCGGGATCCGAGTGTGTCTGCTCCCTGGCGCCTCCCCCTGCTCTCCCCGCGCTCCGTCTCCCCTCCCTCTCTCCGGCCTCCGCGCTCCCACGCGCGCTGCCTCGCCTCCCCCTCCCTCGGCTGACGGCGCCGGGCTCGGGCGCATCCCTGCACTTAGCAACGCGTGGCGCCCCTCGCGGGGGAGCGGGGTGTACCCCCGGACCAGACCACTGGCCACCTCCCCACACGATCTGGGGCCGCTGCCCAGCCCACGCCTGCCCCACGAGCAGGGAGGGAGGAGGGCGTCGGGACAGAGAGGGCGACAGAGCGCTTCTGCCCTGAGCAGCCAAAGCGCGAGGGACGGCTCCAGGCTCACCTCGCGGGGGAAACCGTGAGTGGAGAGGGATTCCAAGAGGTTGTGCCTACTTTCCTTTTGGTCCAAGCGGGCGGTCTGCTTCACCGTCCCCAAAGGTGGATGTGTTCGTGGGATACCATCAAGGAAGGAGTGGCCGGTTTCAGGCAGATAGTAAGCCATTCCGTTCCGGGCTCTGCCGGACCTGAGTTCCAAACCCGCCTTCCTTAATTATATGCACTTGTTACCCTGTGATCCATAGGTTCAGAAATCTCTATGCCTCTGTTTTCCTCCTCAGTACAGTGGTCACAGTGATGGTACTTCCCAGGCTTACATGCAGTATTTCTATTCACAAAGAGAGTGCTATGAACCCTGCATAGCCTGCCTGTTGAAAAAACATCCCTACTGGGTGAAAACTGCAGTTAATGTTCAAGTAAGAAATTTTCCAAAGTCAAAGTCATGGTGCCTGTGGCTCAGTGGGTAGGGCACCGGCCCCATATACCAAGGGTGGTGGGTTCAAACCCAGCCCCCGCCAAACTGCAATAAAAAAATAGCCGGGCAGTTGTGGTGGGTGCCTGTGGTCCCAGCTACTCTGGAGGCTGAGGCAAGAGAATCGCCTAAGCCCAAGAGCTAGAGGTTGCTGTGAGCTGTGACACCACAGCACTCTACTCAGGGTGATAAAGTGCCAAGTGCTAAAACAACAACAAAAAAAATCCAATCACCCTCTAGGTTTAAGCATTTAAACCAGGTTTAAATATTTAAATATGATTCAATAGTTGAGAGCCTCTGTGAGGGCTTCAAATATACTGAGTTCTCTACACCTCAGTCAGCTAAAATGCTGTAGACAGGTGCCAGTTGCTATGCGCCTTAGGAAGCTGAGCTACCTGGGAGCAAAATAAGACAAAGGGAAGAACACCCTGTCCAACAAGACGGCCCTGGAGAACTGACAGAGCGGATCCAGAGCTCCACTTTCAGGCCTCCCAAGAAAGTATATTCTTTCCAGAAGACAGGTACACAAACAACCATAATGTGAGATGCAATGTGAGAGCCTTAAGGTATGCAAAAGGTCCTGCTGGTTTTTAAGAGGGATAGTTTCTAATGTGGTTGTGAAAACCAAGAAAAGGTTATTTAAAAGGTGATATTTGAAATGGATCTTAAAAACCAGTAGACAGTCCATATAGTTGATAGCATTAGAAGAGAAAGACATCCCCGGCACAGGGAACGATAGGAGCAAAGGCATGGCACCAGGAAAGCACGGGGAACCTGGCAGCAGTTCACTGCACTGGGGATTCCTAGAAACATACAGAATCCCAGACCCTACCCTAGTCTTACTGAATCCCAATATCAAAGTGCTAGCTAGACAGGGAATCTTACCCAGGCCCCTCACCCCTGGATCCATACACAGCTGCTCAGCAGCAGGGTCAGGACCACAGTGAGAACACTAGGCACAAATGCTGCCCTGGACTTGCCTGAGCCTGACAGTATCTTCTTAAGTTTTGCACCATATGTCTCCTTTACTTCATCCAAGTCCCAACCCTGCTCTATAGAGCTGTACTTTGACACACACACACACACAAAAAGAATCCAGTTGCCCAGTGTGTGCAATTCTGTCTGTACATTAGAATCACCTGGGTTCTGTGGCAACTTTTAAGTGTGGCCACAAATTCATGGACGCTCTTCCTATAGACTGTGCTTGGTCTCCTCCCCTTGAATCTGAAACACTGAGACTGCTTCAATGAATCAAATGACACAGAAGTGACAGTATGTGCCAACTGTGGCTAAGTGCATAAAAGGACTTGCAATTCTACCTTTTCTGGTGGAAATATGCTTCTGGAGTCCTGAGCTTCTATATGGGAAGTTTGACTACCTGGAGCCACTGTGATTTAAGAAAGCCCAAACTATCTAGAGAGGCAGATACCCAGCTGATCACTCTAGCTGAGTAGACTCTGCACAAGCCCAGCCTAACCTGCAGACATGTCATTAAAGAAGCTTCCAGATGACTCCAGCCCCTAGTTCTCTGAGACATCTCTAACCATTTTAGCTGACCCAGCCAAGACAACAGATATCATAGAGCAGAGACACAATTAGTGCTGTCCTCTGTCAGAAATTTTATCTCACAGAATTTGGGAGTATAATAAAATGTATGCTGTTTTACACAAATAAGTCTGGGGGGTGATTGTATTTGTAATAATAGATAACAAAAAAGTAGTTACGCCCTCCCTCTTTAAAATCCCAATCTGATGCCTGTGCTTCATCTTCACATTCTTATTCAACTAGCATGTGGTGGTCCCAAGGCATAAATTATTTTTAAAAATTTTTCCAGGTGATTCTGATGTGCACCCAGGATTAAGGACCACTGAACTTGACCATGCTGTACATACAGTATAGAAGGAAAGGAGAATAAAATATCAGAAAACCCAGGGAAGCTATGGGATGAAGATCCCTGAATTTTAGATCTGTGAACCCAATTAGGGAGAGCTCTGCTTTAGAAATATTCATCTGGCATCCTTGTGTGCTTTCACCTATTAATTGCAAATTTCCTTATATGACCTGCTAGAAAAGACCCTTTCCTTTAGCAAATGTTCATCAAAGAATACACAAAATCATTAACAAAACAGACTGGCCAACCCGTCAAATGGATAATGGTCATACAAATCACTGAAGAAGAAAAACCACAAGGAGCAGGAGGAGGGGGACTGGTCATGAACATCAAGTTACAACATTTAGCAAAATAACACATTATTTATTCCTGCAATTGGATGGTGGTATGAATGGATTTTTCTGCAACAAGTACAGTTTAAGTCTAGTCCTTCAGCCCTCAAATGCAGCCCTGCAAATGGTAATATTTTTATACCAGTCCCATGGCAACAAGAACAGGTGATGAAGAAGACTTTCTCTGATTATAAATGAAGAACAGGAGAATAATCAGTAGTCAGCATTCGAAACCAGGGAATTGTTTGTAACACTTCAGTAAATACATTTCTTTTCCCTTTGCCAACAAGGAATGACACTTTCCCTACCTGTGGCTGTGCTTATTTCATCTAATAGCCTATCAAAAATAAATATAAATTTTTAAACAACTAACTGGTCATTATTTATTTTATATGATTCCTGCATAAACACCATGATGCTATAGCTGACTTCTCTTTTTAATGGAAATGTAATGTTCACGGAAGGCACCAGCAGAAATGGATAGCAATTAGATTCCCATTCACAGCCAAATTCAATAGGCTCTACAAAGTGGTAACCAAACATATTTTTAGTTTTCTTTTTATCTAGACAGCATGCATTTTTGAAAACTGTTTTCACACATCATTTCCCTGAAACACAGATGCTGCACGGCTGTGCATAGTATCAGTCGTAAACAGGAGACAGCAGGCCTAAGGGAGGAAAGGCATCTTCTTACCAACTTTGTCCTGAAAAAAAAAAAAAAAAAGATGTAATTCTAGATTCCAGCTCTCAGGCTTCCTATGATAAGACTTTGACAGGAAGGTATTTCTAGCTGTTTCAGAAGATGATAGCTGTGTGGGAATGTATTGTATTTCAATCTATCTCTGCCTCATGGAGGAACTATTATCTAAACCATTTCAGACAGCCAGGAATCTATCTTATTTATATTCTAAATTCTAGGGAAGGTTATCCTTTTGAGCAATGACTCAGTATCCTTTCTGTCAGGTTCATGGACATTTCTGTTGCTTTAGCAGCCTAAGATCCAAACCCTCTCCCTCTCTCGGTGCCTGTCCCCATGGTGTGGGTCCTGATTGGAGGCCATACCCACATCTTCTGCAGGGAAGGAAGATGGTCCCTTTCCCTCTTTCCTGGAGGACAGAGCACAGGTGGAAGTGTAGGCTCAGCCAACAGGACACTTCGCTTGGGCTTTATAGCACATCAACAGACATGAAAGAAAATCTATTAATGGCAGTGAACAAAATGCCAGTGGAGCCCTGAGAATGACTTAGCCAATTTGATAAAGGCACTTTATGATTTCAGCAACTCTGTCCTCCAAGCTTGATCTGCAGCCTTCGCATTGACTTCCCAGGACACCTGATGCGTAATCTCTGACTAATACATTCAGTATGAACATCTCTCATTAAAAATGGACTATTTGTAAAGTCATTGGAAAGAATCGGTTAAAAAATTTATTTCTTTTCAGACATTAGTTGAGTGCCTGCTTCATTCCAGGCAACTGAGAGACATGGAGAGGGAAATGATGAAATATATTGGTCCTTGCTTTTGCAGAACACACACTACTTACGCAGGTTCTATTTTAATAGATAATTTTAATGCAGTGAGACGAGAGTAACACCAGTGGCTTTCATGAGGGCTGGGGGTGGGGCATGGACAGAGGAACAGACTTCTTTTCTCCATTAGTGCCTATTCTACATGACCATTTATGTAACTGTAGATGACAAAATTAGGACTCAGGAGTAAGTAGTAAGTGCCATGGGTCAGAATTATTAGCAAATAATGGCTATTTTTCTATGAGCTTTTACCCTGAGAATAAAATTTTTATGCTATGCCAGTATGTGAGTAAAATAAAATTCCCATCTATTGACTTACTCAACTTAGAGGTCTTCCATCTTGAGAAAGAAAGAAAAATGCAAACACCCAATATCTTTCTTTAACCCTCTGTATTGTTATAGTTAGTGGTCTCTTAATCTTAGTCTTTCTCCTGGGCAGAATTCCTCATCTGATAGAAAAAGGTTGAGGGAAAAAGCTGAGGGAAGACAGGATGTTAGAAGC